GGGACACAGGCACCAGAGCAGCCACCACAGTCCTCCCACGGACCGTTGCACTACTGTGCACAGCCTGCAGGGGGCGGGATTAGCCCCGTTTCACAGAGGTGGCCACTGAGGCCCAGCGTGGGGCAGTGACTGGTCCAGGGTCACACAGCCACGTGAGGACTGAAGTGCGGGTCCAGCGGCTCCCCACCCACTCCACCAAAGGCCCCTCCTAACACCATCTGACCCCAGGTACCAGCGGGCTTTGCGGTCCCACACCCTGCTCCCTCTGTCTGGCGGGCATCTCACACATTGAAAACCCCCATAAACGAAGGAGTCAAGGTCTCCGCCCTTCCACCGAGGCCAGCCCGCACCCCAGGGCGGCCGGGGCCATACCTGGCAGGAGGCCCTCTGGGTGACCGTCCTGTCTACTCCGCCCGGGTCCTCGCCGGCCTCTGCCACCAGACAGCTATCCAGCAGGACACTGTGACCCGGCGGGAAAAGGGCTGGGGTCAGGCTGAGTGCCAGCTCTGTGCCGGGAGCGGGGGCACCAAGATGCCCTCGAATAGGTCCTTCCCTAGTAAGACTCCCACACGGGGAGGCGGCAGACGCACGTCCTGCTAACGGTCCCCCAGTCTGAGACATGTGCTGGGATAAGGGGCCGTGAAGGCCATGGCCACAGTTCGGCCCAGGAAGGAGGGCTTCCCAGAGGAGGTGGCCTGTGAGCTCAACCTCAAGGATGATGAATGAACCACAAGGAATAGGTGGGGAAGGGTGTCCAGGAGGGGGGAACAGCATGTGCAAAGGGAAGTGTGCAGGACGGCTTAGGAACTGTCCTCTGGGTGTGATGCAAGGGCACTGTCCAGTGTTCGCAACAGGTGCCCAGCATGTCCCTCTGAAGTCTCCCGGCTCCCTTGGTGCTGCAGGCAGGGCAGGGAGTCAGAAAAGGGAGGTCCAGAGAGGTGAACCGGCCTGGCCAAAACACACAGCAAATTGTCACACGCCACACAAACCCTCAAACACAGGCCCTGCGTGAGTTCCCACGCGTGAGCTCAGAGCTTCGTTGCAGTATAGAATCCCCTAAAAGTATTGTGGGAACTACGCCCTCCTTGGGCCTCAGAGCACACCGGCCCAGGAAATGCGCTTCCCACGGCCCCGTCAGGGGCTGCCCAGGGTCCTGGCCTTTCCAGAATCAGGCCGGGAAGTCAACGTGTGGCTGTGGGTAAGTCACCGGGACGCCCTTGGCTGCCTCTGTTTGCTCGTCTGTCACATGGGTAGGACCTGCTCAGCCTGCACAGCCTGACTTATCTGGGTGAGCTCAGAGGGCCCCTGAGAATCTCAGGGGAAAGTCAAAAAAGACTCCCCATGTCAGGGGTCATCCTCGATTCTCTAACGACCGGTCAGCAGCTTGGTCTGGGGTCCCAAGTGTGAGGGTCGAGCCAGCCTGACCTGGGACGGGCCAGCTCTGCACCTGCTGGCAGACACCCCTGTCTCGGAGCCTCGGGTCTCTCACCTGGGAGCTGGGATTAATAACAGACGCTGTAGTGCGGCGTCCGGCACCG